ATCTGGATACACCGAAAAAAAGTATACTATTGCTAAGTACGTATAATAATCAAATCTAATTAAATATGTGCAGTATTGGTATGGAAAGTGCATGAGAGGTAGCGTGTCTGCAAATGTGCAAAATATTGGACGGTTGAACAGAACTGGCAAAACTTAAATGAAATAAATAATAATAGGATTTATGTAGTAAAAAAATACGTAAAATATCTCGTCTACTTATTTATTTCGGGCCTTTCACCAAAAACACATAAAAAAACACAGTTGACTTGGAGAGGAGGGAATCAAAATTGGTATAATGCTAACTCATTCCAGGTTTTTAGGACTCATTCCTGCACCACCACATTGCATGCAGTCTCCTAACTGTATCTATTGTTGATTGCAGTTGATCACCAGCGGGGCCATGGACCAGGGAAAGGCAGACCGGCTCACAGTGGAGCAGTTCCCAGAAGAAGACGTCCCCATCAGTGATGCAGAGCTGGAGGACGGAGGGTTCCTCCAGCCATACTCCTCCAGGCAGCGGCAGGCTCTCCTGCAGGCGGCGGGGGTGAAGCGCGTGGACCGGGAGGAGAAGAGGCAGCTGCACGCCCTGCGGCTCTCCAGGGAGGCCTGTGGCTGTGACTGCCAGGGCTTCTGTGAGCCGGAGACCTGCGCCTGCAGCCTGGCAGGGATCAAGTGCCAGGTACGACACTGAGACCAAAACACGACTTCATTCACTAAAAGCATAGAGCGGCCCCAGCACACTTTATGCTGCATGAATGAGACAAAAAATATTTCAACATTGTAGTTTGAGCTTGTTAAAGGTAGGGTAGGTAAGAATAGAGAAACCAGCTCGAGTGCGCTAGAATTTGAAAATACACAGCCGAAAAAAATCTGCCCCTTCCTTCAGACTTCCTTACAGAGCCCCTCCTCCAACACACACCAACACACACATGAAGTTTGTGCACAGATGGAAGGCTGACAGGCAGGTAGGCCATCCAATTATTTTAGCCGGGCCGGCTCAAATGATTGGTCGTGCTTTTTACAGCGCTACGGCTTCCAGAGATTAATTTTTTTAATGTATTTATTGTCAAAGCATTTAATGACAAATAACAAATAATAACAAAAAGTGTTTCTGAAGTGAATTACCTACCCCACCTTTAACACTAGAACCGCCAGAGGTCGCTGTATACCTAAAACCGCCAACGGGTCAAATTTACCCGCTATTGATTTTCAAGGTACAATGTCCTTTTATTTATCATGTTGAACAGTGAGTTTTGATCTCACAGGGATGAAACGTATTCCAATAGAATCTGTGGACTCTCAGCTTTTCATGCTATAGTTTGTGCAGATAGCATGAAGTATACAATATTGATACCACTGCTGATTTAAACGCTTGGTGTTAGACTTGTGTTTTGTTTAGTACAAATCTCTCTCTCTCTCTCTCTCTCTCTCAATACAATTACTCAAATAACTATTTATTATTAACAATTCAGCATAATCATTACATGTACATACTGAAGCTTCAGCTTACTATGCGGACCCCTTTTACAGTACAGATCCCCGCATTTCACATCAAGCGTAGCAAAGAAAGAGACAGAAACATATATACTCACAACAATGTGGCTTTCTAATCATTTATTTCAACTCTTTTTTTTTTTTAAAGGGTGCACCACATTTTCACACTTTTAAACCAATATATTTATTTACATTGGTCCTGTAATTTATGATTAAAACAAACAAATGCATGTCAAATCATATTGACTTTCTCTCGTACAAAAAACATGCTGTATTTGAGGATTTTAGACATATCACTCACCAAATGCGTGCTATCATTTTGCTTATCACTGCAGTCATTTAATTGGAATCTTGCAAATCACCTTTTGATTTCAAACACATTCAACCCCCCTCTCTGATGGTGAACTATTGATCATGGTGTTAATACTGTGTATTCCTGCAGCCTTACCTTAACTTCCTGTATTTTACTCACAGGAGGACCGCTTAAACTTCCCGTGTGGCTGCACTAAGGACGGCTGTGGGAACTCTCAGGGCCACATCGAGTTCAACTCCAGACGTGTGCAGACTCATTACATCCACACCGTCATGAAGCTGGAGATGGAGAGGCGACTGCAGGAGGAATCAGTGAGCCAAGAGGAGCAGATGGGACTCCCAGAGGACCTGGACATGTACGGGCAGCAGGAGGAGGCCGATCCGGGGCAGAGCGCACAGGACCAGAGCTGCCCCTTCGGCTTCACCTCGGAGGAGGTCGGCCTTCCTCTCACCATGCCCACAACGCCTTCATTTCACTTCCCCCAAGAACGGTTGTCGATGGAGGAGAGCAGTTGCAGCAGCGACATGACCGAATCCTCCTGCTCCTCCTCTGCGGGAGGAAGCCTCGATGGGAGTCAGGACCTCCCTGATTTAGATAGAGGGTTGTCACTTCCCCTCAGCATGTGTGAAAATAATAACTACTCTGCGTGCAGCCAGCTGAACCACAAAGTACGGCAGACAGCAAACCTAGACTTCTTTGACTCTCTGGAGGGCTTCCCCAGCTCCCCCTCCCCCACCCTGGACTATTTTTCCGGCAGGTACATGGACCTGAGTCTGGCTTCAGACTCCGACATCGAGTTCTTCGACAGCGACTACACCTCTGGACCTCTGCACAGCTCTTTTAAACTTCACAGGCACCCCGACAGCTTTTTCCACCTGCAGCTGCTGAGCTCTGTGAACCTGCCGCAGTACGAGTCCAGCACCTTCCTCCTGGAGTCCCTCATCGGGCTGACGGAGCCCGGCCCGGAGCAGGGGTAGCACAGGGCAGATTTTATAGCCACGCATTCTAGGGACATGACTGTGTAAGATAATTTAATGTACAAAGCATTGCCTATGCATTTGTAATAATATTTCAATGGAAAAAAGGAATCATTGATAAACTATTTTTCCTAGCTGGATATTTTTTCTATTGCCTACAAATATTTGCCTTTATTTTAAGAGAAAACGCACTTGAATAATTAATATGTATTTTTATTTGATTTCCTGATATTTTTAATGTTATTTAATTTCTTATACCATGGCCGCTGATATTTCTTGGTCTCGCCTCTGTTGCTACCGCTTCATCATTGTAAGTTAACTTGTTTTATGTCATATTTATTACAAAGGTCACAAAGGCAATAAAGCATTTTAAAAAGTGATGCCCCATATCATAACACAAATGTGCATACTTTCCAAGTAGCTGGCCATGGTGCGTAAATCCACTTAAAGCAGTCAGTAATGAAATGATAACACTCCTCCATTTTGAGCCTTCGAGTTGTGAATTATTTTCTACTGCCTTTGCCGATTGTGGATTATCAAGTATCTGCTTAACAATATGTTATAATATTTCTGTATTGGAGTAATATAATAAAACTTTTAAAATGTATTCACTTTATGGGTATTTATTATATTCGTGTATTCCATCAAGACATATTGAGTTTGAATGTTTGGCCCTCAAAAGATTTCTGAAGCACTTAAAAAATATGCTACACAATTATAAATAGTAAATTCACTTAAATGTAATAATAAGATGCTCAACACGCTCGACTGTTGGACATTTTTTATTCAAGGGTTATTTTAAAACGGTACAACATTTCTCCTATTTGCACTTTGATGCTTCACTTTTTTAATGATATACTCTACAATTATTTTCAACTATTTTTATTATGACACGCTGCAAAATGACGTTTCTATGGCGTACTGTATTCTAGCTTTTTTTCAAGAATCTTAAATGGAATGCATTCATATAGCATTTATTTTCAGTCTTTTCAACACCATAAAGCACTTAAATATATACGAGTCATCTTTCATCCAGTCACACACACATACAGAGGCAAGGGCTGCCATGCAAGGTTCCACCTGCACACACCTGTGCACACACACACACACACACACACACACACACACACACACACACACACACACACACACAAGATTGGCCATGCCATTAGGAGGAATTTGGCTTTTTTAAGAGTCTTGCACAAGAATACATGTTGACAACAGGGGCTTCAGTCATAGTTGACTGTTATTTTTCCTCATATTTTCATCATACTATATTATGACTGTTTTTGACACACTTTACCATTTTGTCTTTTCAGATAATTTTCAACATAGGCCTACTATATTATGTTGTTTCTGATATTTTCCACATTGGCCTACTAACTATAGTATCAAGATTTGTATATATATTTTTGACAAACTATACTTTGTTGTTTTTTCTCATATTTGTATCATAGGCCAACTATCAGAGAAATGTATCATAAGTCTCCTTTAATTATATATATAGGTCACTAACTTTGATTTTCTCATGCCTTCAACAGACAGAAGGGTGTCATCTTGACCATTGTCAGGCATCTATATTATGGATGTTAGGTTTGTTTGTCTGATCACCATTTCAACTAACTTTAATGTACATTTTGATTGGATGTACCCTCCATTTTCCTGTGTATTTTTCCTGTAGTAAGTGCTTGCCTTTTAGTTTTAACTTGGCCAGATCATTGTACTACATTGCTGGTGCAAGACTCTCCTTCAAGCTGGAATACATTGATTATGTTGAATGCTTTAACTCTTCATTGAATAACACAGTTTGGTTTAAACTTGTATATTTGTTGATTTCTTACCAGAGGGTGATTAATTGTGGAATTTCGACCACACTATAATATTTCCTTTTTTGTTATGTTTTTTTCATACTACACTAGGACGTCTTTTCTCATATTTTCGACATAGGCTACTATATTATGGTTTTGTGTTGACATACTATACAATGTCATTCTTTATGAAGTCTTCTGCATAATTTCGAAATATCGATATTTTGATAAACTGAAGTAATATTAAATGTATGGACAAAATAAAGTCGAACAGTGACAGGGACTTTATAATGCGACACATTTTAACTTTCTTTCTCCACACACTCTACCATAATTTAAAAAATGTGCAGTACATTAAACGGTGACTTATCACTGATTTCCATAACCATGGTCACAAACACTACGATGCGTCATCCTGCGCTGTGTGTTCGATACCTGCCATGTTCGATTGTTTTGGACTACAGACAAGATGGCCGCCGTCTGTCAGCCGTAATCATTCTCATACTCTTGATATTTTCTGATGAAATTAGCTCATATTTGAAAGTTCCTTGCGAAAATGGGGTTATCACAGAGTTCAGAAGTATCCGAAGGAGGAACCTATGGATACCACGTGCATGGCGTAAGACGTTATTCCTCTTTCTTTGATTTAGGACAGCGTGTACAGCAGCTTATCATGACTGTTACTATATGCTAACTGGGAGCTAGCTGATGCAAACCCCACCGGTTAAACCCGATGAGCTGGCACTGTTTACTTATTGACCATGCCACATAATCTCCTATCTACTAGTGTAATTCTGCAGTAAATACGGTTAAATGAGGCTTGTAACTTGTTTTATATAATGTCCACCAGTAGAATGGCGTTAGTCCCCTGATAATTACCCTACATGATTGGTTTTTAAAACCGTAGTCATAGTAGCATAATTGCTAAATATTAGCTAATGCTCTGACTAATATAGCTAATGGTTTTCAGCTTGATGGCAAATAAAACAAGATGAATTTTCACTAGCCTCCGATCCTCTCCTTACTAAAACCCTTTCTTTAATCCCGTTGCATGAAAAGTATATTTACAGTAAATAACATTAGTGCTGATTTGATTAACTAAATAATAAACAAAATCGATGCATCGATCGAGAGGGCGACCAAGCGATAATCCCCAACATTTGGTATTTCAAACGTTGGTGCTTTTCTGTTATTTATATGCTTATAATTGAATATTTTGACTGTAAGGCTGACCAAACCACCATTATAAGGAGACTTAAAGATGAATATATAAATGATTAATCCATAATAGGAATCCCTATTTGCAGCTATTAACCTCGAAGTAGGTAGGGGGAGAAATAGATGATTTACATGCTCCAAAAACCGTATTCTGGTTTTGTCATCATTTTCATATTTAGACATTTCCAAGTTATATTCTAAAAGCACAATTCTTTCGGTTTCCACAGCTGCAGCCAAATTCCCCCGCAGAAAAGGCCGGACTGCAGCCCTTCTTTGACTTCATTCTGTCTCTGGACAACAAAAGACTTGTAAGTTTATTGATTGTCCACTTTTGAGTAGTTATGTCCCTTGTCACACAGGTTGGTCATTAACAAAGATTGCACAGACATACAGAAGCATAAAATAATGACTCTTTTGACTCTTCACATCACCAGAACGAGGAGAATGACCTGCTGAAGGAGATTCTGAAAGCCAACATGGAGAGAGCCGTGGGTATGGTGGTGTACAGCACCAAAACCACGAGCGTCCGTGAGCTGGAGGTGGTGCCCAGCAGCATGTGGGGGGGACAGGGCCTGCTGGGGGCCAGCGTTCGCTTCTGCAGCTACCATGGAGCCAACGAGAATGTCTGGCATGTTCTAGTGAGCTTCTTCATCAAGAACTAGGAAAACCAAACCAACTGTCCTTACAGATTTGAACTTCAATACCCCATTATAGCTCCATCTTCAGTTTACTAACGCCTGTTAATGCTTTCCTGCAGGATGTGGAAGCTAGTTCTCCCGCTTCATTGGCCGAGCTTCAGCCTCACAGCGACTACATTGTCGGAGCGGATCAAGTGTTGCAGGATGTAAGAATCATTTTTATATAATGCTTACCTTTTTTTAAACTGATAATCATTAGTAAGATTCATTGTATCTTTTAACAAAGCTGTGAAAGATGGCTCGTGGTTAACTTCTTCTGCTGATTTCCAGTCAGAAGACTTCTTCTCGCTGATCGAGGCCCATGAAGGGAAGCCTCTGAAGCTGATGGTGTACAACACAATTTCAGATGCCTGCAGGGAGGTGGTGGTCACACCAAACGGAGCGTGGGGGGGAGAGGGCAGGTACGTGAGAATACACAGAAACATGCTTTAGTGACTGCTTTTGTACTATGTCAATCAACCATTGTGTAAGCAGTCCATTATTTTACAATGAAGATTTCCTCTGATCATACAGCATTATTCTGTTTTCTCTCTTAGTTTGGGTTGTGGCATTGGGTATGGCTACTTGCACCGGATCCCAATAAATCCTGAGGAGACGCCGGCGGAGCCTCCCACCTCTGCTCCTGAGGAGGAGCCTGCTCCGGAGCTGCCGACACATGGATACACAGAGGTACATCTGAGTTCACATTAAGTCATTTTTTACGAATCTATTGTTCTCTTTCCAATTAAGTGAATAATTATCAAGAAACAAATATTTCCAAAATGTTTTTAATGTCACATTTGAACCAAGAAAACCAGCAAATATGATAGCATGTATTCTAGATATATTGCTTATGTCACTGCTTATTTTTTATACACAAGATTAATCTATTGGTAGAGGCAGGGCTTACATATTCTTCATCTGTTTTCCAGACACCTTTGATGGCACCTTCAAGTCTAAGTGAAGACGTGATAGATCTGGAGAAGATCACCCTCGATGAGGCTCCTCTACCTCCACCCGTCCAGAGGGTCATGGACCCTGGTCAGTTTCCTTAAGAGGATAATGATATACGAGTTGTGTCTTGTGTGTCTCCCTGGAATCTTATTGATTTTTTTTCCTTTAGGTTTCTCATACACTGAGGCGGCAGTTGCTACCCCTAACCCGGCAGATTTGGTGGACAGACTGGATCTGTCCGTGTCTTCTATCGACATGACCAACAATTTACTGGCCATGCACGAGGAGAAGGACGAGGAGAAGGACGAGGAGAAGGACGGGGACATCTCTGGCGTTGGTAAGTTTGGGACAACATCATACAAAGTTTCCTGGAGAAAAAAATGTGGGCTGAATGGATTGGGAGATAAGAAAGTTAATCATTCATTCCAATATTTTTAACCAAACATCTTCCGATCAATATGGCAGATTTTTACCATTTACAACATATTTACAAATTGAGAATACTGATAAATAAACATCACAACTGTGGAATTAATGACTAAGTGGGTAAAGGCAAGTAATAGTACAGCTGAAAAAAAGTCAAAAAATGACATCACTTAGGATATTACATATGTATTACAATATCTTGTCTCGTATCACAGTATAGATATAATATCCATGGGCGTCGTAGCCATTATATGAGGGTGGGACAAGTCCCCCCCACCTTTTGAAATCATTAGTTTAGACCCCCCCCACTTTTACTATGCGGAAAGACCGTGAATCGGTCTATCCACTCGCCGCTCTCTGGAGAGCGCTGTGTCAGTGCTTCATTATCAAATCCATTCCACTTGCTTATTGTGAGAAAGCCCAAATCAATGAAACTCCGTACCATGTTTTCACTGCTACTTTGTACCAAGGCAGATTCTCAGAGCCGTACACATGGATGTATAATATGAACTGGATACAGCGTGGGAGGCGGGGCCTCATTAATTCCTATGAGAGTTGCTCATTGGCGCATGATGATAAAATGGCCCAACTTTTGAGAGAGCGAAACGTCACAGATTACCCGGCATGCCTGAGAAGTACCCGTATGTGCACTCATAGAGCATGCGCAACTTTAACCAAAATGCTCGTTCACATCAAGCACGTCAATTTGTGTACACGTAACAGCACCGCACGTTCATGGTAATGGATTGTTATTATGATGGATTTTATATTAACGAGGCGGCAGTTAGCAGCTAGCGGCTAGCTAGTAATTATGCTAACGTACACATCAATCGTTATGTACTTATATTACGCTGTAACAGGATCTAGTGATATCCAAGCAACAGAGCTTCATTTAGCATGAAAGAATTATTGCACTGTATATATATATATATATATATATATATACAGTGCAATTAGCTTCTTAGTGCAATAAGAAGCTACAGGGACCTTACTCTAACGTCGGTAATATTAACTTTATTTAATACAACATTTACGGTACAAGATGTAATCATACAGCCCATGTAGTATAATATTTTACAAAGGATGAATTACAGCAAACATGTGCAATATATCCATTATTACAGCTCCGTGGGCTGGCAGTGAGACGATATGGGTCCGTTCTTATTGTGCATCCATTGGTAAAGATAAACGCATGTAGTGCTGAACACGTAACATGAACGTGCCGGGCGGCGCGGTCCCGTGGGTTAGATGCGCGTACATAATGCAGAGGAAAATAACTCTCAGAATAACATTATTAGCACATTTTTACAACTTGAGGAACGAATGTTTTTAATAAGGGCTATACAAGTGTTCATACTGGGTAGTTTATTTAGTTTAAAAAAAATTATCCAACGATTTACAGACCACTCTTTCCCCATGTAAGTCAATGGGAAAAAGTGTGTCCGGGCCTGGCAACCAAACGGAAGTGTAGTACCGCCGTTTGGCCGCCACGAATATTTTCATCTGAGTCCGGCGCACTTCCTAGGGGCTTGGGAAATACACATGCTGCGTTTTTTGTGTAGCTGTGTCTTTAGTTGTAAAATTATTTCCACGCTGCGAGGCTCCGGTGTAGGTACCATATCTGCTCGGGGTACCATATCTGCTCGGGTGTATTTCCGTCGCTTACCAATGACGTCACGCGTTGTGATTGGCTGTACGCGGTGGCGTTTTTGTGTACAAAAGTGGTGGGGCACAAAAAACTTAGATGTCTATATATAAGCTTCTGCAGTGAGGTTCATGGCTGGTGAGGCACTGGCACTGACTCTTCAGGTTTACAAATATTATATTTTGACCTAAATCAAAATATAATATTATTTTCAAAAGCTTTTTTTGTCTGATCCTTCAATTAATTTTAAACAGACAGTTCAACAAAAGGATACCCAAAAAATGTAATTTGATCATTTAAATATTGAATTGTTCTCTCTTAGTAAGATCCCATTTTCAATAAAATTGCGGTCTTACCTTGACTTGAATATGAAGTCCATTTGCCTATCCTTCTGGACAAAAATCTCTATTACTTTTTTGTAAAAGTCCTCCTTATCATCTTGTAGTTTCAAAAATCTATCATAAATCTAATCGATAGATTTATGATTCGAACATTTTAAAAGTAGGGTAGACATGTGGATATTATCCTGCTGAACAAAACGTGCATTTATCTAACAGGTACGTTTCCCACAGATGTTATTTTGAGCTATTTTCTAAAATCCTATGGAGAAATCTCATTGCTTTTTTGTCGAGGGAAGCCATGCGCAGCTTACTTCCTGGTTTTAGGACGCGTCTCTCTCCTCTCCTCTTCACACACCACACTTTTCGCGGCACACGTACTTACAGCCAATCAGCTCTGAATTATGTGAGATGACGTATGGTGGGGATGGCAGCTCTATGCCCCTATGGTCATTATTTTTTTGCCACACACATTAAATAGGAAAATACTCTGAGCATGCGCAGTGTAGTTTTTACAGTCACCATTCAGTTAGACAGTGAGAGGGAGGGGCATGATCGGGTTTTGTCCCACATGGCTCTAAACCGCTCAATAGGCACACACTGTAGACACTAATTAGAAGAACACACACTAAAACAGCAATGTACAGACGAATCAGATGATTAAACATGATCTTAAAATATATTTTATATATATTTTTTGCATTTTTTTGTAATCATTATATTTAATACTTTCTGCTAACACTAAGTGCGGCTGTGCCCCACCTGCCCCTAATGACCAGTCGCCACTGGCTGTACGGTAATTTATCCAGGGGCGCTGTCTAGAGCAGTGGTTCCCAAACGGTGTGCCGCGGCACACTGGTGTGCCGTGAGGCAAGTCCGGGTGTGCCGTGGGATTTTGTGACAACCATACGTTATTATTGCAATATACAACTACACAAAAATAATTATTTAATTTTAAATTTACTATCAGTACTTTGTAGGTTTATATGTACGTAATCTGCGCGACTTGCGCGTCCACATCTCCACGTGCAGTGCTGCATAAACATGGCTGAGTCAGCGATAACTTTCGAGGGGTGGAGGTATGTCCATTATTTTGAGTTCGTCCGAAGAATAGACCGGAATGTGACGGTGAGGTGCAAACTGTGTCCAGGCCAGAAGCTGTTATCCACTGCTGTAAACACCACGTCAAACCTCAACAAGCACCTGCAAAAAACACATGCTAAGGTGAAGCTAACGCACACGCTATTTGTTGTTTGTTTATATCACGTATATCTTCTTCTCTGTCTTCCGGTTGTTGCCTGTTTTGAATGACAAATACACACTACCGCCGCCTGCTGGTAAGGAAAGTTATTGCCACTCACGCATGTGCAGTTCGTACGTGCTCGAGTAAAGTAACGAGTAAAGTAACGAGTTACTTTATGTAGATAGTAACGAAGTAGTGTAATATATAACTTTTTAAAAAAGTAATATGTAATATATTACATTTTTTTAGTAACGACCCCATCTCTGGAGTTGGCGTTCTCTACTCTGGTTTACATGAAGAACAGGAGGTCACGGCTCTCTGTTGAACAGGACTTGCGAGTGGCCCTCTCCTCAGTGCCACCAAGGATTCAAAAAATCTGCGCGCCCCGACAGGCACATGTATCTAGGGTTGCCAACCGTCCCGTATTAGCCGGGACGTCCCGTATTAGCCGGGACGTCCCGTATTTGAGCCAAAAGGGGCGTGTCCCGGATTCCTGTGTAAAGGGAAAAATAAAAAATATTTTCTGTTTGCGCACAATGCAGTGTGTCTGACTGCGTGCCTGTGTGTTTGTGTGCTGTATGCGAAGAGGGCACTAGGACCGCTCAGTTGACAGGGCAGGCACAATGCTCGCACGTGTGTGTGTGAGATTTTCTCCGGTGGGCAGCGGGCGCGGCATCATTGTTTGTGTGGCATGTCAGCCTGTTCAGTCGTGTGGGGAAATGAGCGCTGCCGGTGGAGGAGGTGATAATGAAAGAGGAGAAGAGAGAGAGGATGTGGTTCTGGGCCCTTCTAAAAAGAAAAGACTTGTGTCTTACAACAAACAGTGGAAGAAAAACACAGTTGTGTGTGTGTGTGTGTGTGTGTGTGTGTGTGTGTGTGTGTGTGTGTGTGTGTGTGTGTGTGTGTGTGTGTGTGTGTGTGTGTGTGTGTGTGTGTTTTGATTGATGGGAAAATTAAATAACATAACCCTAACCCCGAAATAAAGTAACAAAAAAAAGTAACTAAATCCGCCAGAAACCCGAAAATATTCGCGCGCGCGGGGGATGCCTGTGTCCCGTTTTTCCATTTCTGGAAGTTGGCAACCCTACATGTATCTCACTAATTTGTAAATCGGCAAAATATTTACAATAGCACATGTTTCAATGCTGATTGCTGAAATGTTACATTTATAATTTGTAGTTCAGGACCATGGACAATGCAGCTTCCTTGCATTGACAGTTCTCTGTGCTGAATTTCTGCTGAGTTTCCTTTGCCTCATTTTTTATTTTGTGACCTGTCTGGTTTAAATGAGTGTGTTGCTGCTTTGATGAAGCCTAATTTGATAAAGTTTCAAATTAATTTCTGAAATATTTCATGAGTAATATAGTTGTCTTTGTCACATTTTATTTGGCATTAGTAAATAATTATGCACATTTACAGATATTTTACATGATATGAGTGATAACACGTGTTATAAGGGCTAGGTGTGCCTTGAGATTTTTACTTGTCCTTTGGTGTGCCTTGGGCACAAAAAGTTTGGGAACCACTGGTCTAGAGTATAGCGGGGTTGTGATCATTATATGACATTGCATTTAGTTGACGCTTTTATCCAAAGCGACTTACAATAAGTGCATTCGACCAACAAGATACAAACTGTGGATAAAAGTGCCCGAGATCAGCCTCTTAATTTACCCAGGGCCTAGTGCTTGGTTTTGGGCATGAAAATTCAGGAAACTCCCCTGAGTATTTTATTACATATCTGAACTTTGGAGAGGAGTTGGGGGACACACGACACATCATATCACATCTACAGATCAAGACGAAGCGAATGGAAGTACTAAAATGTTTGTGAAAAACGTGTGCAAAGTCTCCGAAAACGGAGCAGTGACTATGATGCTAGCTTTGCGGCTAGCGGTTAGTTGTTATTTTTTATGTTTGAATGTTAAAAAATAACAATCGACAGTGTAAACATAATTATGTAAATAACCCAATTTGTGTTCTGTGAAACGGAAAAGGATTTTACATTGTTTTTGTTACTTTTGTTGTAGTGTCTTAAATTTAATTTAGGTTAAATTCCTGTTTGAAGTTGTTGCTATGGAAACAACATGACGGAGAAAAAAAGTAATATCTTCTACATATAATAACGGACAAAGTAAAGAATGATAGGCTATGTTTAAATGTTTAAATGTTCGGAATTTGACCGTGTATGATGGCCCTCTTCAGGGTTTCCCACACATAGACTATACTTGGGCGGGCCGCCCAGGTATATTAACGGCCGCCCAAGTATATTTCGCGACCCATTTCGTTTTTTTTGTTTTTTTTTTTATAAATTTTTTTTTAAATATTTTTTTTTTTTATTCGTCCGTGACCACGACGCCATCTGCGATCGACTAACTTGTAGACAATGATCCCTCGCTCCCTTGCTCTGATCTCGCCTCCTTCTGGCCTGTTAAGTGGCCTGCCTCACACAGGGTGACTGGCTGTCCACATGATGTGGCCTGCCGACATGGCCACTGTCATACAGATCATAAATCAAAGCCCTTGATTGGTCTCTGTGTGTCATTCAAGCTCGGGATAACCTCAGCTCAGGTGAGGTAAAGGACTCTCTGAGTGTTTAGATAGTTAACTTAGTCTAAGTTCTCAGTGGGTCTCATACGGTGAGGTCACCATTTATGTAAACACATATTTCCATTTGAGAGGGTAGTGATTGGTCTAATGGATAGTGAGGTGGGCTGAAGATCGGAAGACTGTGAGTTCAAATCCCGCCAGGAACACCACCACTAGTGTGCCCTTGAGTAAGGCACTTAGCCCTTAGTTACTCCAGGGAGAATGTCCCTGTAATCGGTCATTATAAGTCGCTTTGGATAAAAGCGTCAGCTAAATGAAATGTAATGTGATTAGTAAAATATGCATGAATAAATAAATAAAAAGTTAACTAGGTGAAAAAAGGTAAGATACACTTTTAAAACTTGTTGAGAGAAAACTAGTCTTTGCTGCTGCCTCAAAGAGGAGCAGGGGGAGAGGATGGAGAGGGGGGAGAGGAGGGAGACAGGAGAGGCTGATTCAGGAGCACAGACACACTCACAACTATAAATGAACCAAAACTAAATTAATGAACAAGTTTCAGTGTTTTTTTCATATTGGAAATGGTATGTTATTGGTTATGGCCTTGATTTTATGATTATTGAAATGTATACAGTTCTGTTAAATATAGGTGTTTCCATAGATCTAGTCTCTTTATTTTCCCCTCAAAATGCACCAGATTGATGCATTTAACTCCAAAATAAAATCTTACCGGGGGGGGCATGCCCCTGGACCCCCCTAGAGGATTTGAGGTCGACCCCACTAAAAATCACATGGATAGGTTCCTAAATACATTAATAAATACATTAATTTTTTAAAATAGTAACCCATTTCCATATGTTCATGTGTGGGTAGTAGATTTAAACTATAGGGCTATCATTATGGACCCTGCCTGTACCTGTACCTGTTCGCTCTGCCATCGCGTGAAGGGTCTGCTAACAAGCGACCAACAGAAAGGTTAATGTTGTTGCACGTCACCTCAACCCCCCCCGCTACCACCACCCCCCAAAGTATATTTCAGATCTGTGGGAAACACTGGCAGTTAATGGACCAGCACCAGAGGCATTCCCATACACACAGGCGTTGGAGCTGTTCTTCATGAAATCCCAGAAGGATGAAGTGCTCTGACAAACAGTGCCATCTTTGCGCAAAATGATTATACCGGAATGAAAAGTCAATAAATAATGTTGTTAAAACTTTTTTTTTTTTTCGCGCCCCCCCCCCCCTTGCCACCACCCGCCCAAGTATATTTTATATCTGTGGGAAACACTGCTCTTGAGTTGCCGTACAATATGACGGATGCGACGGAAATACACCAGAGCAGATATGGTACCCCGAGGGCCGAGGCTATATACAGGACGGTCCTGTACACAACGCCAAATGGCTATATACAGGACGGTCCTGTATATAAGGTCTCTGAAATGGCTATATACAGGACCGTCCTGTATACAAGCTCCGAAATGGCTATATACAGGACGGTCCTGTATATAGCCATTTGGCGTTGTGTACAGGACGATCCTGTATATAGTCATTTGGCGTTGTGTACAGGACGGTCCTGTATATAGCCACTCCCTACCCCGAGCAGATATGGTACCTACACCGGCGCTAACGAGCGTGCTCCACTAGCACCCGGATATAAGGCGCTGTTATTAAAGAGGTGGCGGTAGAGTCCTCTCCTGTCAGACTGAGAGGCGTGTTTTCTAAATGGAGATCGGCTAAGATAACGCAGTATATGCTCCGACCGTCCACACTCACAACAACGTCCTATACAGACATAAATAAACCAGCGACTGTATTCGCCATGACACAGGCAGTCTGTGGTTTGTACTTGTTTAACTTCTAGTTTCTGAACAGATATGAGGAGCTGTGAGCTTGAGTGCTAACAGCTAACGGCTGATGTTGTCTGTGGTTCGCTTTGAAGATGACGTCACGGCTCCGCCTAAATCAAATCAAAGTTTATTTATAAAGCACATTTAAAAGCGATTTTTGGTCGGGCCAAAGTGCTGTACATGTAATAAATACTACAATCACTTAAAAACACATTACTACATTCATAATAAAAGACAATAAATTACAACAGATATATAGAAAACACAGGGAAAAAAAGCTCACTGCGTTACTATAGTTACTGCCCCAGCTACTAAACTGTAATGGAAACGCAGCATAAAGTGAGCCAGTCCTAACAAGGCCTAACTATACCGTACTAAGCCGAGCGAGGCCCTGCAATGGAAATGCGCCATTAGTGACGTAACGACAACCAAAATGGACCCATTGGTGGAGCTCCTCACACACACACTCTTTGTGGCGAAAATGTGACGAGCTGGGGGGGTGATAGTGGAGCCTCGCAGCGCGGCGAAACTGTGGCGCGCTTACACTGTAGGTGTGCCGCGTTTGGGGATGCGGGTGCTTGTGGAGCCTCACAGATGCGGTTGATGGGGCTGCTGCAGCACCCTTCCCGCGTCCATTCGCGATGTCTCGCAGCAAGCAGGAAACCACACCAGTAATCCTGGATTACCAATCAGAGCACACTGGGCTCACAGGGAGGGGGGGGCAGGAGCTCCAACAAGGCCTTTAGGACAGAGAGTGAAAGTCAGTGAATACACATACTATACAGAGATGCTGTATGTGAAACCAATGTGAGTTTGGAAAATTGCACAGTATAAATATATTCTAGTAGACATCAACAATGGAATTATGATCAGTAGAAATGGCCATGTCATGGGACATTTAATGTATTTAACACTGTGCAAATCCAGAAATAATATCTTAATACACCACTGTTAATATTGTAATTTACATGTTACATTTTGTAGTACAATGTGCACATTAATAATTGTTTGTATACATATTTGATTATTTTTTTAATCCTTTATACGACATCTTTAACTCAAGTTTATAAAAATAAATGTAATTTGTATTTAAAAATAAATTGAACATTCTAATGTGAATTGTATATGTCAATATACATATTTTATTCTCTTTTTGATCTATTACATTCTAAAACAACTGTCACAAAACCCAATTTTCCCGGGATAACATTTGTTTTAACTCTACTTCCTGTTGTGCAGAGGAACTAGAGGACAGTGTGCTGCTCTCTTCGTCAGCGGAGAGCCAGCCCGACCCGCAGGAGCTGAGCTCCGAGGCGGCCATGGACCTCAGCTCCGCTCTTGCTTCCACGGACACTGACCCATCTCCCCCGCTCACAGAGGCCACGCCCCTCTCTCTGTGTGAATCCACTGAAAATCCACCTGTGTGTGAAGCTTCTCTCCCTGTTGAGTCTCCAGAGCCCCCTTCTGTCCCAGCAGAAGACCCCACCCTGTCTCCTGTCCAAATCGACCAATCTCCTGCTGCCGATGAGTTCACGGCGGCAGAGGATTCTCCTGCAGAGCCAGCAGAGGAGACAACAGAGGAGCCAGGAGAGGAGACAACCGAGGAGCCAGCAATGGAACCAGAGGAGCCTCTAGATGTTTCTCCTGCTCACCAATATGAAGGTCACGAGGAAGAACCGCCTCTTGAGTAAGCTCGCACAAAAAAAAAAGTGATGTTGACAATCACTGGGGCTTTTTTAAAGGAACACTGTTTAGGAAAAAAACAGAGACACGCTTGTCTGATTTTATATTACAGTCTAACAATCCCTCATGAAGTAAGTTACACTACAGAAACAAACTCATTAGAGAAATACTATTTGTTTTATATGTGGGAGAGTTACTGCTAATTTGTACACTAAGGTCAAAGCATTTTCATGCTTTGGTGCAAAATTATTAGATTATACGGGTGACAGGGCTTTGCTTCGGTTGAATGAATACTTTAACACTTCCAAAGGCATACAGCAAAGCACAGCCGCACCTTAATATCCCAAAAACACTATACTACTTTTTTTTTAAGCGCATTGTTACATCTGTTGTGTTTTTGAAAGAAATCCCAAAGCTTTAAAAAGGTAGCATTTAAGGTTATACGAGGGAACATTTTACAGTACTGCCCATGTTATGGATTTTTTAAGTGTTTGTATGACGGAAATGTTTGTGCAGAAAATGAGTTTACTCCAGGTTTCACAAGGTCGGTATGTTTTAAACACCGTTTCTAATTTGATTTATTCAGCTATGCAGCCTGGGATCTGTTAAAAATAATTTGTATGGCTGGAATCATATCCCCCATGTCTGATTTTACTCTTTTAAATATTTGTAATCTATGCAACAGTAGACATATGCTGCCTGTGAGTTGGCAGATAATGTGCAATTGTTAGATATACAGTATGTAAGACGTCTAGCCACAGTGATGCTGCTGTTGAGTTATTATTTCTCTTTCTAGGGGGCTTCTTAAAAGTTTTTCACTGTCAAAGTAGGTGCTAGTGTGTAAAATAAGGAAAAGTATTTTTGCAGATATTTTATCAATTAATTGTATGTTTTATTAGGAATGAGTGCAGAATCTTTTGATGAATGTGAATGGGTGAAGGTTAAACAATCATATCACTTTAAAAAAGAAAAATCGTCCCTTGTTTTTCTTGTTCCGCACACAAACACATCCATTTACAATCCCCATAATGTGTCATTGTTAAAACCATTCCAATTTATTTCTTTGAATGCCTAAAATATACATATTTCACAAATTATTACAAGGGATATTGCAGCATTGTGGTACCCATCATGATTTTGGCCAATTAGAGCTCACTCGAAGCGTCCCCCCCGTGATGGCGTTACACACTCTTCATCGCAAAAATTAACTGCGGAAAATGTACAATGAAAAGATCTGCAAGAAGAAAAAAAAGTGTTTTCCTGTTCACTTTGGAGATTTCCACATGACGGTGATATATTTATATATTCTCTTAGATGAGATTCCCCTTCAAGTTCTATTCATTGAACTATTACATCTAAATGAATACATTAGGACGAGTCATCACTGCTCATGAGCCAAGGGTAAGCATGTTATTAAAGATATATAACTTACATATCATTTCCCCAATTGCTAAGATGACCACTAACAAGATTTTTTGGGTTGTATTAAATACAACAAATTAAATATTTTTAACATCCAAGTCAAATTAATGACCGTGAATGTGCTCTAGGGATTTAAAAAAAAGAAATGTTAAGTAAACTGTACAACAACGGAATAAAACTGCTGCAAATGAAAGTCACTGAAATCAAAAAAAGTTGTACACATATTTACAACAACGAAAAAGAACATTGAGACCAGCACAGCTAAAAAAGACAGACAAGTGCGTCTGTCAATGAGGTTTCAAGCTCTGCGGTAATTTGATGTCTAAGAGTTAAGATGACAGCAGAACAGAGGAGAGGCTGTGACGCTACCCAGAGACCAAGTGCCCCGATCCTGCTGAGTGTTTGTGGAACAAGGACAGTTTCCTGGAATGTACTAGAACAAACAAAACAGTCTACTACATCCATGTGCATACACACACACGCTTGAACACAAACAGATACCGTCCCTTCAAAATAAAACGCCAATCAGAGGGAAAAAGAAAGTCCTTTCTTCAAACTGTAAAAAGAAAGAAAGATGAAACTACGGACCCTTGTGTCCCTGGTGTCTCTCGGCTGCTCCGGCCTGTTCTGGTCACTTCTCTATGATACACCTCGAGCTTCGTTTCCTCACACATTTTTCTCATTGATACCGCGACTCTCGACCACACAACGATTTTTTTTAGGGTACTACATGTGGGTGGTGATTGGCAAATGACGAAGAGTTCGTGTTTGTTTTTTAAATGAGCATTTTCACGTGGACTTCTGCCTATAGTGAAGCGTCAAGTCTCCTCCGCTCTTCCAGATAAAATGTTTAACTGTTCGCAGGTCCATGTTGGGATCTAGAACCTGGTTGGAGGATGAAAAGATAATAGGTTATTACAATGACTTAGCTCGTAGCTTTGACACCAATACATCTGGAGCAAAGAGCCCACCTGGTCTTGACACATTAGTTCGATCTTCTCCTCGGCGAGCATGGCCATGTCCTCCTCCTTCTCCTGATCCCCCGGCTTGTCGTTGGCCGAGGAGCTGGTGGTCTGCGACTCGTTGTCCAGGTTGATGATCTTCTCGTAAACGTGCTCCATCACCTTCCTCACCTGGAGCATGTCGCTGGCCGAGAGGCGGTCCCTGCAGACAACGCACAGGGGGAAATCAGCACTCCAAGCATCCATGCCTGAAGATGTACGGTTGTTTTTGCATCCCATAATTAAAAAGGTATCACACTCCCAGAGTAGACAAGACACTTACTTCTTTAGAGTTTTTGCTCCGGAGGAAGAATGGGGCTGGAGGTAGAATGGGATTTTGTTGAATTTGGGCATATTTTTCTGGAATAGAAGAGGAAAGATGATGCGTGAATATATGAAACATTGGATAAGGAAAGAAGATAACTGTTAGTGCACAAGGTGTTTTATAAAGATGCTAATAATGTCTTCCTTGGCGAAACAAAGTGACATTCTTTCAAGACGAAATTCTAATTTTCCAAAGCAAATATGGGAATAACATTAATGATGGCTGAATTCCATTTATCTCCTCCAGTGTCAGGATCTGTAGAATGCGTACATCAGCGGTTCAAATCTGTTTTTGTGAAGTACATCTCATTTTCCTATCTGTTAACAGCACTAAACCCACAGAATCTGATCAGTTCCATTTGGATTAGGTCCACCTTCCTCTGCGGTCAGATACAGGGGGATTTGTTTTGCAATGAGACTTCAGTCTGAATGTTTAGAATCCATGTGACTTTAACTTCCCTCTAGATTGGCAGATGTGAAATGTCTGCACTGGCAGGAGTCACTCAGTGAATCCAGATGCTAATGGTGTTGTCAGCGAGAACCGCTAAGGACGTCACAAGTCATCCAGATTACACTTGTGATTAACACCTCCGTAGAGAAGTAGCCGCCAATGCTCCAAAAAAAAGCCAGTTAGAAATGTGTCTTTTTACTTATTCTAGACTTAAAACCACCTGAAATTTGCCATATAAAAAAAAGGTGAATACAAATTCTGAATCAAGCACTGAATCTCGCAATGAGAACTTTGTGACCTTTTATATAGAACCTTAGCTTTTCCTTCTATGACACAAGGCCAGGCAAGTTTATTTATATATCACCTTTCAACACAAGGCATCTCAAAGTGCTTTACAAAAATGAAAACATTAAGAGCATTAAGAAACAGTGCAGATTGGCATTTAATCATTAAATGTGAATAAAATAAACGTACAAAAAGCCACTAAAAACATCCTCTTCCTCTATAGCAGGGGTATTCAACTAAAATTCAACGAGGTCCAGTTAGAGAAAATCTCCCCAGGCAAAGGTCCGGAACTTCAAAATGTCTAACTGCATGTAATCAACAACTGACTGCCAGATAAAGAAAGTACAATTCATAAACAACAATATGTATTGTCAATTAACATTGAACTCTACAGATATACAGTAAATACTGTGGATATGTGTAATGTTCCTCTCGGGCTGCATTTAAAAATAAAATGGAGAAAATAAATAATAGCTTTCGAAAATATGTGCATCTCAAAAGTGCTTAATTTTAGATAAATAAAATAAAGTGTAGCAGCAGCTTGAGTTTCCCTTTTTCTTTGTTAACCGTTTCACATCATGACTTAACAGTTTCAGACGATTATAGAACAATATCAGTCTTTACACATCATTACAATTAACAGTTTTAAAGTTTCTCTTTCTTTCCCTCTTATATTGCAGTCCCTCACTCACTTTCTTTTAATTCAGTGCGAGAATTGAGCTGGAGCTTATCCTGCCAGGAGTTTGTAAATCTGAGCTGAAATGGTGTCAGGGCAGGGCCATTCTCATACACATGCAGGTGCTCATTGGTTAGCCTCGGTTAGCCTGCGCTGGAACGATATTTAGTTTTTGTGACCTCAGTTCTGACTTGAGAGCGAATGTTTGGTCAAACACTTTGTGTGTTGTCTCATAGTGGCGTGTCGGCACTTTTAATGAGCGGCACGGTCTCTGAACAAATGAGACACACTGGCTCTGTGCTCCCAGTGGGCAGGATGAACATGAATGAGTCCGTCCACTCAGGGTTAAAAGCTCTGTTCTCACTGTCCACTTTCCTCTTCTTGGAGAGCGCCATGTGTAATTATGTGTCTCTCCCTGTCTGCCGCTAACACGCCTGTTCACTCCTCTCCGCTTCTCTCCCTGTATCGCTAATTCATCTCTTCACTCACTTTCCTCTCCGCTTCTATCTGCCGCTCTCTCGTCTCTTCTTCTGTGTTTCTCTCCCTGTATCGCTCACTCGTCTCTTTCGCCCCCTGTTGGCAGCGAAATTGAAATCCCCTATTAATGTATTGATTATAGGTCCGGGTCCGTATAGGTTGGGGTCTGGGTCCGGATCCGGACCGTGGTCCGCCTGTTGCCGACCCCTGCTCTATAGTGACATTTAAAAAAGCATATCAGAGTAGAAAATGCTTGTTAGCATGTTGTGTTTTGATTTATTTTACAAAAATTACAAAAGCGCACACGTGTTACCTAAAACCACAAGCGGCATACATGTATTGAGTAAGCTTCTCTGAATGAATGAGCTATACATGTATAACGCACAAACACATGAGCCTGCAAATGTTCTTTTTATAGTCTAAATAACCTGTAATAATTTGTACTTATTCCCACTAAATAAGTACAAATTACAAATATGTTATTCTAAGCACGAAAAGTTTAGTATTATTATTCCGCCGGTATTTTGCCGCGCTTCTCCTCCCGCATTGAACATCGCAGAAACTCCGTTCAAACATCAAAACGTTCAGCTCGGTCGGGAATCGATGGCTATTATTTTTCTCATTCATAACTTTCATAATTCCAGAGACACATCCCATAATTCATCAAATTTTTAACATTGAAGTCAATGGAGGAAATCTTCAGACTTCAACAAATCTTCATGTGACTTCAACTGCTAACTGTTCATTCATACCTTCACTCAGAAACCTCATTCCAACTTTAAAATGTTACACATCTTTCTGACATTGTTTGTGTAAAACTACTTTTAAATCAGATATTAAACATTGTTCAGACCTTGTTATAGAGGTTTTCTTCAGATTTTAACTAGTGCTGTCAAAATTATCGCGTTAACGGCGGTAATTAATTTTTTGAATTAATTGCGTTAAAATATTTAACGCATTTAACGCATGTGCAGAATGGCCCGCCCCATACGTGCCACCAGTGGCAGCGCCAGGGTATGGCTGGGGTAGGCTACACCCATACCAAGAAATGGCTAAGCCCCACCATGAAAAATGATGTTAAAGTAAGCGAAATAAAGTCTGCCAACTCGCGGAGTAAATTGCACAGACAGCAGTTAGTAAGATTGATTTCAGTAGCCACGGTTTTGAAAACTTTTGTCACGTAGTGATCGTCTTCTCAATAGAACATCTTTGATAACGGCGTGGTGTTGTTGCAGGAAGTCCCGACGGAGAATACTTTTGCTGTAGTAGGCTACAGGGGTGCACATAACTGGTACGCAGGTTATGTGCGTAATCTGAAATGCGTACCGTCACTTGTG